TACTTCCCGCGAATTACGATTTTTTGGCACAAAATCAGACATTTTCACACAACCAAAAGTATATGACGCCAAAACAAAATCACTACTGTGTCAAAACCATATGTTTACCATATGTCTAAGCTTGGTTCATGACGTTTTGGATATGTCGAAATCGACCAACACTTATTGCTGGAGCCATCTATTGACAAACAGCGAGAACTTAGTTGCGCACCTAATACTTTCGCCTTTGGTCGGCTCTTTTTCTCTAAGTGCTTCCGCGATTATCATTGGTCGCGCATCTTGTCCTGGCCGCGATGCTTCACAGCGCTCCGCAGACGGCATCTGTGTGGAGTACGCGTCGCGCACATATTTTCGCGCCTGATCTTATTTCTTGACCCTGGCTAATCATACGTTGAGTTGCGTGCTTAATCATCGACGATGTATTGTCTTCTTGGCCTGCTCCTGGTCCTGTAGCTGGAATTATAGGTGGTGGCGTTACCGACGTGCGGTTTCGGCCATTTTAGGAGTACGCCGCCATTTTGTGTTATGTCCGGCCTGGCCGGGCCTCCTGGTGAGACGTCCCCTTCGTGGAGTGGCCCCGGGGTATCTCGGCCAATGTCGCGGCTTCGTGCGGATCGTTCCTGTGTTGAGTGGCCTGTTGCGGATGCGCCTTGCTTGTGGAGGCGCCTTTACTCCTCCGCCTTTGTTCTGCCATCTTGGTGTCTGTTGTTGTCGTTGACGGGCGTCTTCCCCGTGGATTCTTGTGCTCGTGTGCGTGTCCGCTGTGCCTGGGCTACCATGCGTGCCATCCATGGACCTAAGAATCTCTGGACCGAGCATACGGCGAGGGGGCTGTTAAATTCGCGGTAAGGGGAGGATAGTACTGTCTCTTTCTACAAGAGGTCACCGTCGGGTATTTCCGCCGTATATCCGATGATTCCCGAAAGACTAGACAAGTCTCTACTCGCTAACTTCTGAATTAAGTACGAAATGAGAATTGCAAATTGTTAATTTTATAAAATGTATTCAATCTAATATAAGAAAATTTGGTTAACAATTGGAGAAATATTTTAATATAATTATGGCACCTCATAGAGATTTCTTTATGATGTTTTAACAACTTATAGAGAGAGAAATAACCTAAGACCTTTAATCTTAATTACAGAAAATCGATTTTGATAAGTTTCCATTTAAAAACGCCAATGATCAAAAAATTGGAAAATTGGAAAAATATAAAATTTGTAAAATTGTAAAAGAGAGGTGATACAACTAATTTGTGAGCATAAGAGTTGGTCTTAATTTAAAAAAAGGATGTCATTTAATAATATACATTACCTCTCCTTTAATTTATTGTGAAATAATGAGTGATTTAGTAAGTTTTTATTGTAAAATTGTTTTCATTACTATTGTATCCTTATTCACCTTTTCGTCCAGTCCTCTTCGCTCGGTCAGATTTTCACAATACCTTGTTTTGTAATTTGTAGAATCTTAATTATATAAACTTTATTCTTTGGTAAGTATTATAGTAATTTGTATCATATTATTTTTTACAAGTTTAATTCTTATTACAAGATTTTATGGAAGTGTGTAATACATGAATAAAAAGTAAGACTATTTTAATTTTTGGTAGTAAATTATATTATTAAACACTGTTTTTTATATTAGATCTGGGTAAGAAATGTCACGATTTGGACGTGGTTTCCGGATTGATTTGCAAATTGGTGAAATTATAGTATTGGATAAGAGAAATTAAAAGATCAAAGGATTTTTGAAAATTTTGAAAATTGTAAAAGTTACGTCATGTTGAATTTTTTACTAGGTATTTCTTTAAGTATTAATATTTACGAAACTAT